CTCTCTCATCGATGTTTCTAACTCTCTATTCCTCTCACTTTCTCTCTGTAAAAAATCAACAAAATATATTTTAAAAATATATTTTAAAAGGGGCTTGTTAAATGGTGGTGGGCTGTGGGGTGGTGTCTTTCTCTGATGTTAAGTCTCAGGCAGGCACTGTGCACTTGAGTCTTATCACAATGGCCTTCACAAGCCAGGCAGGGCTTCTCCCTCTCACCTACCTACCCCCCCCCTCCTCGCCCCCCACACACACACTAGATGCAGTTGGTTCCCACCAGCATCACGGGCTCTGATTCCATGCCCTTCCCCTGCAGATTAGGGCTTTTGTTACCTGCAGGAGATAGGGGAGATGGATCCATCAAGAAAATTTTTATTTCAAAGACTGTTTTCATTTCTAGATGTGTCTTTTATTATGTTTATAGCTTCCATTTTATTCATTTATCATGTCTTTTATCCTGCCAATCCTCGAGTATATTTATCATGGGCATTTTAACATCCTTGTCTGCTAGCTATTAATTCCATATTTTTTCTTCTCTATTTTTCTTTTTCCATTGACTTCTTTCTCTCCTCATTATAGACCAATAATGTTCTCTTTCTGTGTGTGTCTGGTAATGTTCACTAGAAGCGGAACATTGTGGATTGTATTTTAACTGTTTGCTTTGTTGTATATCTTTAAAGAATGCTATCTATATATATAAAAAGCCAGTGACCATAACAACTGGTCACTATAATGCCCACTGCAGCCAGGGAACCACCTGACTCAGGGTGGAGCCAGCCAGCCAACCACCTGCAGCCCCTCCCTGGGGCTGGGCCCACACCGATGGACTCCCACCACACCAGTTGGGCCAAAACCCATCCTCTCAGCCTGCTCTGCCCTTGGTCAGGCCCCCCACTTTGATCAGGGGCAGAGCCAGGCGGCTAACCACCCATGGCCACTCCCTCTGACTGGTCCCACCCCAGATCAGACCCACATACACCAATCGGGGCTGGACCAGCTGCCCAACCTCCTGCAGCCCCTCCCCTCACTCGGCCCTACCTCAGATTGGCCCCTCACCCTAATCGGAAGGAGGACCAGCCGGCCAATCACCTGCAGCCCCTCCCCCCAGCCAGCCTGGCCATGATCAGGCTGATTGGGGCAGGCCAGCGGACCCCACCCATGCACAAATTTGTGCACTGGCCTCTAGTCAACACTAATAAAAGAGAAAGATGCAAATTAACCTTCATTCCACCACTCCACTACACCCACCAGGTTTCAGGAGTGAGTATGTAAATTAACCCAACTAAGATGGTGGCAGCCACAGAGCTGAAGCAAGCAGGAGGCTTGGGTTGCCCCCGGCAATGGAGGAGGCCAAGCTTTCCCCTGCCCTGGCTTTGGTCTCTGCTCAAGGCTACAAAGTTTCAATTATAGAAGAGAAATAAATCTCAGAAAAAGAAAAAGAAAAAAAGGAG